CGTTTATCTCCCCATGTCAGCAAACCTCGACCAACAGCTCCGCTGTCCTATTGTCAGCCACTCCATCTACCAACAGTACGTTGTCTGGATGTGTGATAAAATGCTCAGCAGTGAAAGAGTTAACGATGACATGCAGAGGTACCCATAAGGCTGTGTTCCGGCTGCACAAGACTCCACTCCCAACTATACTTACCGACCTGCTCCCTCGGAGAACGCACCCGCGTTCTTTGGCCATCACAAGGTAGTGCGTGGAGTGCTTTTCCCTCTGTGGCTCTCGAAGGCTGGGTGGCATGATTGTCCCTATTCTACAGCTGGGGAAACCGAGGCACGGGACGGCAAAGTGACACAAGCCAGTTCGGTATTAGAGCGTAGAGCTCTGATCTCCTGAGTGCTCAGCCTCTCTGTCTCATCTGGCAGCCTGAGACTTGAGGCCCGCCATCCCACTCCTGCCCGGTGAGCTGGTCCCAGCATGGAGCTAACAGCCCTCTCACATTCATGCAGGGGAACCCACAGCAGGGCAGTGAAGATCCTTCCTGAACTGTGACCCCCGTTTGCTCTGGTGTGGGGTGGGTAGGTAATGCCAGCTCTAAGCCGAGTGGTGAGCTGCAAACAGAAGTAGAAAGTGCCTTTGCTCTTGGCAATCTCTGACTGGCTGCATGACCAGCCACTCAGTGCCAGCTGTGACCCCAGCACAACGCATGGCCCAGGGGAGGAGGATGTGCTCTGTGGGCCCCTTCTCCAAATGGCTCTGAAATGTGTTGCGTGCCTGGCTTTCCCCCACTGCTCCCGCCGGGATCTGTCCGCCAAGCTCAGGGTCCTGGGACTCCAGCTACGTAATGCACCTTGGCAGGTGGCATCATGCAATATTCCTGTGGCTTTGGAGGATGACACAGATAGGGACCGGGCCTCCATTTAGGGGCCTGAACCGATGTCCCTGCAAGGCCAGTTCCCATCTCATGTGCTGCCCCCCATCCTGTTGGCTAATTCTCAGCCATGCAGCCAGCCGTCTCTGTTCCACCCCCGTTTGCAGCCCTGCAGTGCTGTGCAGGCAGCGCCCGTGCAGGACCCTGAATTGGCTTCCGGTTGAAATGAGCGGCGTGAGGGAAGGAAATAAAGGATCCAGGAGGTAGGATGCTGGAGGGACTGGCTCAGGAGGAGAGAGGGGAATCTGGATAGGGCAGTGTCCAAAGCCCACTGAAGTCAATAGGAATCTTTCCATTGGCTTTAGTGAGCTTCGGATTGGGCCACCGAGAGGGGGAATTGCAGGGAGCTTGAATTTTTGGGGGACGGGAGGAGCGATCCCTCCAGAGTAAGAACAGCGCCGGACAAGACGAGGTTCTGTCCCCCCTCCATCCATCCTCCCCCTACCATGAGGTTGCACCTGGAGCTGGTCAGGAATTGTAAGGTTTTTCATCGTTGTTTACATTTTTTCTACAAATATGTTCAGGTTTTCATTGAAAAACAGGGTCATTTGGGGATATTGTCTGATCCACCACCCCCCCCCCCAAATAAAAACCTCATTGAAAACCGATATTTCCTGCTGAAATTTATTTTATGAAAAGGTTTCAGAGTAGCAGCCGTGTTAGTCTGTATCCGCAAAAAGAACAGGAGTACTTGTGGCACCTTAGAGACTAACAAATTTATTAGAGCATAAGCTTTCGTGGGCTACAGCCCACTTCTTCAGCCAACACCCCACCCCCTGTATCTTATGAATGAAAAGTATTAATCAGCGCTGGCTGGCTGCATTTCAGAAGCGAGGGTGAGTGGTGAATGGGCTGTGGAGCTGAAGTCTTCTCATTCAGAGGGACATGTACATGGCAGTATTTGATAGTCTGCTGTCTTTGCTGTGTGATTAAAGTGGGTGTCAGGCTAACGAGGTGCCTGTATCATGGTATTTAGGAGGAGGTTTGGAAGGGTTTGTTTTTTATCGGTAAATATCATTAATTGTCAATTTCACCAAACATGTTTCTGTCCATTATCAAAGTTTACTGAAAAAAAAAAATTCTGCCTGAGAATTTATTTTAATTTGAGTTAAGGATAGGTTTCAGAGTAGCAGCTGGGTTAGTCTGTATCCGCGAAAAGAACAGGAGTACTTGTGGCACCTTAGAGACTAACAAATTTATTTGAGCATAAGCTTTCGTGGGCTACAGCCCACTTCTTCGGATGCATAGAATGGAACATCTAGTAAGGAGATAAATATACATACAGAGAACATGAACTCCCACCTTTTCACGTTCTCTGTATGTGTATATATATCTCCTTATTAGATGTTCCATTTTATGCATCCGATGAAGTGGGCTGTAGTCCATGAAAGCTTATGCTCAAATAAATGTTAGTCTCTGAGTTAAGGATATTTACTTTGTATATTTTAACATGTGATGTTCACAAAACAGGTTTTAACAGTTATGCAGATCTCGCTTTTTGAAGCTCAACATCTATGGTCATTAAATAATTACTGTCTGAGCCCCCATTGTCTGAAACTTGCCCCCCACAAATGTGAAAATTTAAATAGATAAAAATTAGGGGGGGGAAATGCTTAACAATGTAAACATTGATATGGCCCATTGAAATAGTACAAAACCCAGAAGACTTGAATTCTGCCACACTTAGTTGTAAGGCACTTGATCACTGGGGTTGCTAGGTTCTAGGCTTCCGCATTGTTTTCTTTGACCCTTGGGGAAAGGTCTTAATTTTTTGTCTTTAAAACTAAAGTCAAAAGCTTTACACACACACACACACACCCAATTAAAAACTCACACTGACTATTTGGGGAAAGGAGGAAGGATGGGCGGGTGCATGAAGTGCTAGGCAGGGACTGGAGAAATCTGGGTTCAATCCTTTGCTCTTCCATAGCCTCCCTGTGTAATCCAGGGCAAATCTGCTCCGGTCCCCATCTGTCCAAGGGGGAGAACACGCCTCATTTCTCCCACCCTTCATTGGGCTTGTCTATTTAGATTGTGGGCTCTTCGGGGCAGGGACTGTTTCTCATTGTGTGGCTGTGCA